ACCAAACCACTCTATATCGATCTGTCTAGATTTGTAATTTTTAATCTATTGACTCGATTTAGTGTATATATTTGGATCCACATGAAGGCAATAGGTTGCTTGCCGAGGTGTGCCATTTTAGATTGGTTTCTTGTCAAGATAAACAATCTGCTCCCTATAAATGGGAGAAAACGCTTTATTTCTCATAGGCATTTAACTTTGCGAGACTAATCTCGTCCATTCAATGACTCAGCAACCCGGGTGGGTTTCTAATCATGGATACTAACTCACCTCATTTTGAGGAGACGAGTTTATCCATAGGCATCTGTGCATGTACTAATAAACTTGATACTTTATTGATTCGTGTATGCCTTGACAGTAATCATCCTCCTTATAGCTTTGAAGTAGAACTTTATTGCCAGCTATTTTAGTGAGTAATGTGAGAAGTTCAATGGGAAAATATTTCACACGATGCTTTATTTTTCGTTGAATTTAATGGTAAATATGAGTTAGCCTTTTCGCCAATCCTGTTATGAGTCCGAATTGAAGGGCATATATGACCTGTCCGTGATCTAGTGGTACCCGAAGTAAGGTGTCGCATCTCGACAGGACTATCAATAAAATGAAGAGGCAATGTTAAGGCTTCAGTTCAGGTCGTAAGGCAGGCCTTTTATGGGTCAAAGTAATCAGAAAGTCACTGGCATAACAGTATCTAGCCTTGTAGTAATGGGTTAAATCGATTATTAGTCCCACATAATGCTTTGCGAGCTAAGCCTAAACACATACCGAGGAAATGGGTTTCGAGACTATCGGTAAATCCTGAATAAGAGCCTACGTTCACATAAGGTCGCTTAATGTGATAAAAGAAGGACAGTGAATTTTATCACATTCAAATAAATAGGCCTTTCTTCCTAAAAAGTTTTCCTCCTCCAGGCTAAAGGGGATTGTAGTTTGACATCTTGCCTGAGACTCATCAGCACCGCTAGCGTTTATCGAGCCTGGCTAATTCAGAATATGATTTATACATGTTACAGCTACGCCACACTGCCACGGGCTAAGGAAGATCAGGCTTTTCGCATATCCCACCCTCCACAGCGAATCACATCTACACGCTGACCCAAGGCGACTCGTGGCAATGTGGCGTAGTGGTTAGCATGTCGAGATTACACGCAGCATTGCCAAGGTTCGAGTCCCACTGGAGGTGCTGATAAGCTCTAGGCGAGGCCAAAACTGCAGTTCACTCCTGTCAGGAGAAGAACATCTTTTGGGAAAGTTAGGTTATATGAGATTCAAGAGAAAACATCAGCTCTACTCATATCATTGTGGGCAAATTCAACCACCAGTCCTTTATCACCTTAAACGAAATAGTGTAAATACAATTCGTATATAAGTTACTTATAGCTGTAGAAAGTAGATTTTTGAGACTAGTAGTAGATCTTGACTTTCAAGGAGGACCAAGCCTCTTACGTATCACACTGTATTGTAGTCGATGGGTCAAATTTGGGCAAATGTGGAAACATGAGGCCTACTTCTATCATTTCCGGAAAATGCAACTATCAATCTTCATCATCTTATGTGACCAAGTGGGAATACAGCTCTTAACCAAGTTCTACTCGTAGTTTCAAAATGTACTCACTTTTCTCGATAATAGTCGATTCCCACAATAAACTGTAGTATAGGAAGAGCCTCGTCTTTCTTGAAATTCACGTCTGCTTTATGACCCAGGAGCACTAGTGGGTGGGAAGCAACATGCAATAATTGTGCTTGCCTAGCCGGGTTCGATTCCCGTCAGGTGTGCTGATGAAGCCTGGGCGAGGTCGAAAGTGCAATCCACTCTAATCTGGATGATAATACTTTTAGGAAAGTAATACTAAGCGAACTTTAAGGGAGACGTGAGACCTATTCGCATCATTGTGGTCAGGTTCAACTATCAGCCATTTATCATCTGTGCTATAGGGTGAATAGGATTTTTATTTAAGATAGTAAATGTTCTTATATCATAAGTTTATCTTGCCTTAAAATTAGTACTTTTCGTATAGCCCAGTGTGCCTAGGTGTATGTGGATTTGAGACCGATGTGATTGCCTCTTAATCTGTACACGAATGGCTCGAATCTCGCCAGCGGCTCTAAGGAGACGATGAGGCGAGGTCGAAATCACATACACCAACGACCCTATTGGTGCGTCAGCATCCTATTCACATTATCGTGAATAGACTCTTAATCAGTCTGATAAGGTGGTCTTCAAAGCCGGTATATTTCTTGCTATATGCGAAGAAAAGTTGGGTTTCGAGGAATCTCTTATTTCATAATTTTTGTGCTTACTTCCATTTCGAGTGAATTTGTTTGGTGAAGAGATTCGTAGCTCAATTCCACCGGAAGACAACGGCGGATTCCTCTTGACCAGCTGTCGATTGGCTTTACTAAAACATTCATGCTGACGTCCGTCATATGACGAATGAAATCTTAGCACCTTTTTCACCGGAATCACCTCGGAGACAGCGCCAGCATGAATGTTCCAGTAAAGCCAATCGGCAGCTGGTCAAGAGGAATCCGCCGTCATCTTCTGGTGGAATCGAACCTCGAATCTCTTCACCAAACACTTTCACTTGAAATGGAAGTAAGCACAACAAATACTTCTTGCTAACCTAGAAAAAGAAAAACCGTTATTCCCCTTATTGCGGTTGCTACACCAGTAAATTAGGATAAGGCAACAAGTCTTTAAAATGGATGTGGGTTCATAAGTGTGGAATAAAAAGTGTACGGCTTGATTGGTTAACAGGAGGTTTTTGTTCAAACAGAGTACAGCGTTATGAGCAACTTTGCAAGTTTACAAAACACAAAAAAGACAGAAAAGACACCAATAACTATGCCCCAATCAATGTTGCTAAGGTGGGACTAAAGCTTGATATATAGTACAAAGGCGTACGGTATAGAGAGCGTCATCCGAGGCCACTTTGTTGCCGGGTTTGGTTGGATATAGTGACTACAAGAAAACTGAAATATCACTGCAACTGTATGTCTTGTCATAGTCCCGTTTGACTGGACCGATGACAAAAGAGTAAGAAAGCGCGCACAGGGAGAGGGAGAGAGAAAGGGAAAAAAAGGTAATAAAGATGGAGGAGATTGTTGGCCTGGTGACATCTGGGTGGATTGCCCGGATCGCTATGGCATCGGGAAGCTGGTGAAGCCCGAACATTGTCCATTTGGTGGGTAGGCGTTCTGGCAGCCGTTCCATGAACCCCCGTTAGGCATGTTCCTCGGGAAGGCCCTGGCTCCATTCGTCTCCATCCACCAGGGCGACTGTGAGTTCGGATTGTCCGAGCTCCACTGGGGCAGTTCGAAAGTGTTGCCATGGCCCACCATGCCCATTCGGTTCGGTCCCATGCCCGGGGTGACGAGGTTGGGACCGGGCGGTCCGTTCATACACGCTTCACAGCCAGGCCCCACCCAGCCGCCCATGCCTCTGCAATCACAGCCGCCACAGCTCATGCCTGGGAGGCCGGTGCTCATGCCCATCGGCATTTGGCGCGATGTGTTCATACCATCCAGCGGGTTGTAGCCCTGGTTTCCTCCTCCTCCT